GCCGAGCAGGGAGCCCGATGCGGGACTCGATCCAGGGACTCCAGGATCATGACCTGAGCCGAAGGCAGCCGTTCAACCAACTGAGCCACCCAGGCGCCCGAAAAGAGTAGTTTTTAAAAAGACTAAGAAAAAATTCCTACTAAAAACAAAACCTTTTTAATCAATTTCTCTTGGAGGGGAAATAAAAATTAAAATCAGGAATACGTGATTTAAGATGACATCACCTTGTCTTCTGAAAAGTCCAGCAGTCCCTGGAAGAGGGCTGGGTCTGGCAGAGCTAGTCCCATACTGTGGACTCCTAGGTGGGGACCACGGAAGTCTTAGCTGAAGCTGCATGAGAAGCTCCAGAGCAGGTAAGAATGCAGCAAGACAGGAAACATGACAATGCCTCTGGCTCCCACAAGAACCAATGTATCCTGCCATCAGGAAGCCCATGGCGCCGCAGAAATTCTAACTTCTGCTTAACATCAGCATCAGCATCCTCACCAAAGGCATCACTGCCCATGCATCTTTCTGAGATTCTCATCTGTCATGCTCCTTTTACAATTACCAACCTCCAATCATGCAAGCAAATAAACGTGAGAAAGACAGTGCAGAGGAGAAACGGCAAAGGATAGAACAGTCCGCAGACAGAGGCAGGCAGGTGAGCGGCAAACGTGAGCAATGACCACCTTCCCTCACCATTAAAGGCCAATCAGATGGCACATGAACTACCACTGTTCACTACTGGATTGGTAAACACGGAAGTTTGATGATTCTAGTTATTCACGAGGGAGTAGGGAGAGACATGAGGTGTATGGTGCTGGGGATGTGAGGTAGGCAACCTTTCTAGGGAGTTGTTTGGCAACAGCCACCAGGATTTCAAGTCCACCCTTCGGTTCAACAATTCCTCCGCTGGAGTTATCCCACGGATGGCCCTCGAAGGCACAAAGAAACTCTACCACAAGACTACACCTCACTTTAGTGTGATCTGTAAGGGAAAAGCCAAAACCAAACCCTGGTGACATCTTAAGTGCCCATCAGTCTGCAGGGATGGGCAAAGACCCTGGCCAGACATCATCTAGCAGGGCACAAAGTGCTGTATGCGCTGCTGCCCCTCCTGGGAAAACAGAACCAGGACAAACATAACCCGCACAGAGAATGCAAGACATGTGTGGACTCACAGGCATCTGTGGGTGTCAACACAAGGAAGCGCCGACGGTGGGCATCTGGGAAGAGCACAGGTGGTGTTTTCTGTGCTATTCCAATTTTCTACACGTGCGCGTGGTGACTTTTGCTGTGTTAATTGGGGGTTATCTGAATGATGACATTTATAGAATACTGTTTTCTTCTTCATATACCCTCAGCTAAGAAAGAAAACTCCTGATCTTTTAAAAGAAGACCTCTTTGTTAACTTCCCACTGTCAAAAGAGTATAACCCCAATCCTGTCCTTTGGGCTCCTGGTCTCTGAAAAGCCAACCCCAACCTACTGAAGGACCATCCTATGTGAACACATTGCCGCTTCTGTCCCAAAGTCCTCTCCTGCTCCACCTCTCTCCAAAACACCCAACCCTGAGGTCACTTCTGAGACGCTGCCCTGCTCAGGGCCCGAGGGCGGCTCTTATGACCCCCACCAATGTCAGTTCTGACTTCTGTGTGTAGCACCGAGCACATCATATCAGAGCACAGCTGCTGTGTCTGCTCTTCCGGCTCACTGTGGGCCCAAGGCAGAGACCACCCAGGGCTGGCCTGACACCTGGCCCACAGTAGGCACCCAGGGAACATGTGCTCATGGGAACCCATCCCTGATAACACAGATAAAGCGTTGTAACGGAGAATACAGAGAAAGCAAAGAACGAAGCACTACAATGTCTCACGTACTAGCGCAAAGAGCTGGCAAACACCATATACTCCAGGTGAAGATATGAAAGGCCAACATTTAAAAACATGACACTCAGGGTTTGGAATGAATGACTTAAGAGCATCTCTCATCAACTACTTGTTGGAAACCAGAAACCTCTCTTGAAGGAAGATCTTGGCTTTGGCTGGTTAATTTCCAAAGGGACAGTTTTAAGGATAGGCATCTTAGAACAGTCCTCTTCCTCTTGGAGGGGAAGGAGAGAGAATGCTTTCCCAGCAGGGGGCCCAAACCACATTGTGTAGGCGCAAGTCTGTGACGGGCTGACCTCTCGTGGAACCCACTGAGCCGTGGCAGTATAAGCAGCAGTATAACCAGATCGTCTCCGAAGAGAGTCGAGCCAGGCCTGGAGTAGAGCAGCAGAGGCGGAAGAGGTCCCAGGGGAACCACAGGGGCCCAAGTCCTGCAGGCGGCTGGGCAGAGGGCAGAGGGCAGGCAGCAGCGTGGGACACCCTCCCCCCTCACCTGCCTGACCGGCACAGCACCAGGCCTCCCCGGGCAGGCTCAGGACACCCTGTGTTGCCCAGAGGCTGCTGCTCCCTACCAGAAACAAGGTTTAGAGCCTAACGTTTTTCTGTTCCCTGGAGATTCTCCAAAACCAACTATTTACTGACATACTACAAATAAATCCAGCTCCAGTTCCAGGTAGTTTAAGAATAGAGGAAATAGCTTTCACCACCTGAAGAGAGACGATCTCACTTTATTTTTCCTAAGAAAAATGAAAATACTGTGAAGGTATTGAGTGTGAGGGACTGCGTTCATTCTTCAAAATGAATGAGAGATAGAGTGGTTTCAGAGGACAGATGTGTGTCCGGAAAACTGAGATTACTTACCTTCAGTGTTTAAAAGATGAACAGACAGCAGAACGTCAAGCTGCAGGTCACATCCAGGAATTTCGGATTTTAATCTTACCTTTTTCAGAAACAGCAACGGACCCCACCACAACTAAGTCCACAAGAACCCTGGAATCCAAGCCCACAGGAGTGCTGTAGTTCCTCACGCCCTGTGAACACAGACGTGGGCCTGAATGCTTCCTGGGCAGCGAGCGGCGGCCGCACCTCACAGTTCACAGGCGAGCAGCACTCAGGGTCTGAATCAACCTCCTGCATGAGGCAAACCCATGCCCTACAATGAACACGCGGCGTTGTGGAAATGGCATTTTAGGAAAACCATGGCTCAGAAACCATCTTAGGATAATTTCCCACAATTTCTTCCCCAGGAAAGATGCCACTTGGAACTGACAGCACAAATGAGTAAGATGTTAAGTTCACAATACTGAGCAAATCATTTCTTCCCACGAGGCAGAAGAGCACAGTGGTTAAACCACAGGCTCAGGAGTCACACAGAACCGGGTCCAGATCCCTCTTAGCCCCGTGACCTCAAGAGGAGGAAGCTGACCTTCAGTTTCTTCACCTCTAAGACAGAGGTGCCACTGCCTTGCCGGACGGGTGCTGGAAGGGAAGGAGACCATGGGGGTAGTGCATTTAGCACATTACGACGTGGTCAGTCAAAGTGTGGGACAAATAACGTATAAAACACTGGGGCTGTTACCTGCACGTGTGCTTCACTTCTGAAAAATTACTTGTTCAACCAAAATGCACTGAAAATACACACGTTTACACTAACTGAGGCTTGTATTTACAGAGTACGGAGGCTGATATGGTCACGAGTCTCAGATAACAAGGGCTACAGGTCAATCTAAGGGCCAAATCAGGACACTGTACAGACCAGTGCCTGGCACTGGAGGGTCACGGCATGTGGTATTATGCCTCGTCTACAAGCACATGACAAGTCACTTATGGGATCAGTACAGGGGGTTGCTTTGGGGCTCTCAGCGGTCAGACCACAGTCACAGGCCCACTGTGCCCCATGGTGGGAAGGCCTGCTTTGCTTAATCTCACAATGGCCATGCAGCTGGCATCTCACACCCACGGCCCACATCCTCAGCCCTGTTTTAATGGGCTTGGTGCCTGGCAGCCTTGGTGAGCAGACCCCTGTGTTGAAACTCGATCCATCAGACTTCCTCCTCCCTCCCTCGGTCAGCTTCACCTGCTCTGTTGGCCAGAGTGTGAGCAACCAGGAGTCTCCCCGATTCTCCAAAGTCCTGTTTGATTCAACAAAACCTCAGCTGATAAACATTTCTGTGTGCCCAGAGAGGTGGTTACTGGACGACTCCTGAGTTAGAGAATACAAAGACACCGAGATCACACAGGTGGCTGGGACGTACCGGTGGCAGAGGTGTTAAGGGACAAATTCAGAGACTTCTCTGCCAAAAGGCAAGGCCACATCTGAGTCTCCTAGAGTCGACCCACACGGGGGCAGTATCTCTGCCGCTAAGCTCTGGCAGAGTAGATAACGACTGCACCACGACTGGCAGCTGCACAGAGGCCCTAAAAGCCTCTCTCCCCTGTGCCATCGAGAAAACAGAAACGTCCTTTTCAGGTTCCAGTGTCTCATGTGCTGACAGAGCCCGAACTCTGCGGCTCAATCCCTAGTGAAGTTCAGCCGCGAGAGCTGGTCCGGCTCTACCCCGGGCCCAGCCACACTTTCAGGGGCACGTGTAAGGGACCAGCCGGTGCTGGCGCGTCACGGGGAACTTTTGCCAACACACCACGTGGCAGTCACCTTTCAGAGGGGCGGGGATGCCGTGAAGGGGGACACAGACCCCTACAACCACCACAGGCCCCTGTGATGGACCCTCAGATACATTTGACCTGGACCTCAACCCCAGAAAGGGAACCGCTGGTACCGTCCCAAACCCACGACTCCGGAACCGCTGATCACACTCCCTGCCGGCTCTGGGAAATGTGAGCTCCTGTCTGCGGCCCGCGTCTGCCAACTGCAGACGGTCACACAGTTTGCGTTTTTGAACACCGACCAGAACCATGACTGTCTCTTATTTTTCTCATTTTCCCTTTGCAGTTTTTTCTACATATATTTTATTGTTTTACTTTATTACACGTACTTTTGAAAGCTGTATCAAATTCTATTTTTGGAAGAAGGTTATCAATAAGTAACAATAAAAATTTAATTTTTAAATATCAGACTTAAGTGGAAAATCTTTTTTAAAAAGATTAATACCCTATCTTGATGCCCTATTTTTTATTCCCAATAGATGAGGCATCAAATGACCTACGATCTATTCTAGGACTCTGAAAAAAATCACCAAATTCTATTTCTTTATCTGCAAAATACAGGACAAATGCCACCACAGGGCACCATGATGTATTTATAAACTTCAGTTTTACTACATTGTAAACGCTCAAGAAAACCACATCACCGAATTACTAAAACCATCATTCAGAACTGGTGAGGCAATTTCCAATCCAAGTATTTTGGAAATTCCTGAGTTCCCAGTTGCTCTGGTGGCACTTAAAAAATGCTATGGGCCACCAGACTACGGCACACGTTAACATCAGAAGGTGCCAGACCATCCGATAACTCATTTTTTCTTCATTTTGAAAAGGGAAATTACAATCTGCCAAGTTGGTGCAAAAGAGAAACTGGGTGACTCAAATGGAACACATGCATTCATGGTTTTTCTACTTGGCTCCTTTGCTGATAGGACTGCTGAATACTTTGCCATCTCCACTCATTTGGCTTTGTGAAAAATGAATTTCAATTTTGTGGTGTATTTTACACATTCTAACTCACCAGAAGTCTCGGCTGAGAATAGCGCTCTCCTGTTGGGTGATGCGGCCTCCTGCACTTACCTGAGAGGTAGCACATTTCCTCAAGATGTCTTTAGTTGCCCCGGGAGGTGGTGTGATCTTATTAAATAACCCCGTTCTCAGTCGTGGTGTTGGGACCAACAATGTTTTTTTGCTCTTTTAAAAAAAGACAATCAATAAATTACAAAATTAAACATAGAAAACTTGTGTATATTAGCATTTCAGGGGCAGAAGCAAGTGACTATTATTGGCATCTTTTGGTGTGTGCCAAGGAAATGACTTCTTTGCAAACCCAATTAAATAACGTATGGTGGTCAATCTTACTCAGGGCCACTATTCCACCCCACTTAGGATGAAGAGGCAGTGAGTTGTCAAACTCCTGAATTCTACTTTACTTGCCACTCAAAATCACTACAGATACAAAGTGACAATGTAAATCCAAATGAACGTCCGTTCTCATTAGAATTCCAACCAGAACTTTCCTGTGTCCTCCCCTCCCAGCATCACATACTACAGTTACAATGCTTCCTTTTTTTAAAAAGATTTTATTTATTTACTTGAGGGACAGTAGGAACGGGGGGAGGGGCTGAGGGAGAGGGAGGAGGAGACTCCCTGCTGGGCAAGAAGCCCGATGTGGGACTTGATCCCAGGACCCCGGGATCATGACTTAAGCCGAAGGCAGAAGCTAAACCGACTGAGCCACCCAGGTGCCCACAACGCTTTTGTTTGAAACCTGCATTGCATGATCTCAAGCCTTCATAACCAGTTTGCTGTTCAGTAAGTTCCAGTCTCAGAGATTAATACTCATTATAATCGATATTTTGCATTGACCTGAGTCCACAGGCCCCTTTTCCTCTATTTAGTTCCCAAACACCTTGTTGTGAGTCCCAGAGCATGGATTCGCAAAGTGCACGCCCCTGGCCAGCAGGTGCAGCCCCTGGACACCTGTGAGGAATGACCAGAAGCTTGGGGGCAGGCACAGCAATCTGCTTTCACGAGCCTGCCAGGTGATTCTGATGCCCAGGAAAGTTCCAGAACCACCACTACAGGCATCTCTGCAGACTATGCTGGGGCAGGCCATGAGGCAATTGTAAAATTTTAAAATTTTCGGTGTAAAAAAGAGTATATTTTAGTTTTTGTGCAGGAGATGATAGCCTGAGACCAATATAAGACCTGTAAAATCACAGGTTGGCTTACTTAAAGCCATGAGAGAAATATTTCAACACAAGTCATGACCATGTGCTCTTTTCCTTTGGAGTGTGAAAGGTTTGGGTTCATTCACAGTCTGAAGATTCTGGTGTACTGCCCATTATGATGGTTGCTCCCTTTTCTGGAAGCTGCTTGTACTTTAGATCACCTGAGCAGTGGGTATGCAGACCCACTCAGAGCATCTGATTCAGAACCTGACATCAGCAAGAGATAATTTTCAAAGTTCCCTGGGTGGTGCTAACATGCAGCCAGGGTTGGCAAATGCTGGCCTGGCCAGTGGTTCTTAAAGGAACCATCAGGGGTGTTTATTGAAAAGACTCTAGGGGCGCCTGGGTGGCTCAGTTGATTAAGCATCTGCCTTAGGATCAGGTCATGATGCCAGGATCAAGCCCTGCATCAGGATTCCTGCTCAGCAGGGAATCTGCTTCCCCCTCTTCCTCCTGCCCCCCCACCCACAACTTGTGTGTGCTCTCAAAAAAAAAAGCAAGAAACAAACAAAACAAAAAACCCCAATAAAATCTTTAAAAAAAAAAAAAAACCAGACTCTAGAAACCTACTGAACGTCTGGGGTTGAGCCTGGGAAACTGTGTATCCCCAAGCACAGGCCACTGTGTCCCCAGGCATGGACTGTGGCCATGTGCATTGGGATCCCTGTCTACACTTAGGTGCGCTGTGGAGCATGCAGGTTTACCTGCTTCCCAAGTGATTCTTAAACCACTAAAGTTTCCATTTCCAGAAACACAGAGGATTCTGTAGCCCTACAGCGCAAGGACCACACATGTCTTTATGTCTTTTTCACCACTATTATCCCTGTGCCCAGCAGAGAGCCTGGAATACAACAGATTCTCAAAGCTTGGCTTTCTTTCCCCTGAATAAACAGACAGTGAGGACCCTATTCCATCCTGCTACCTGGCTGCACTCCTCCTACAGGATGTCTTGACTAATCTCCAACACACTCAAGGCTTTGATTTGTGCTCTGATGGGCTGACAGGTAAGAACCTCATACACGCAGAGAACTGGCTCTGGAGTCACAGTGTGGGTCGGAATCCCAGCTCCACCATTACCAAATGGGGGACTTGGGCAAGTCATTTAACCTCTCCGTGTCTAGCTTACTCCATGTCATATGGCAACAGAGATCACTCCTACAGGGTTGTTGGCTGAATTAAATGAGGTAATATAGTGCAGTGTTTTGACAGAGCTTTGTCCTCACACAAGGCAACCACTCACTTCGGGCTCTTCTCTGCTGCTATTATTTCCTCTAGTTCATTAAAGTGAATTACTGATGGGGAAAATATGGCTGGCAAGAAAGAATGCTTCCAGAAGGGCCTGATTGGGAGGCTTCTATTGGGGCTGAACAGCAATCAGCAAACAATCAGCAAACAAAATCCCCTATACACAATCCTTGAAAGAACCAGAGGAGGATCCCTACACCCTCCTCGTTCCCTGTAAAATCATTTTCTGGCATTCCCTTCTCCACACAGGCTGCAAGGTGCACTGCGTGACCAAGGCCTCCCAGGAGCTGAGGGAGAGCTGAGCGGCCACACAAGGCGTGGTCGGTCGCCTAAGGAGGAACTCTGAAGATCTGGATTCATATCATCAACAGTAAGTTGTCTCAATAAAGCAGCAGCAGCTTTGTTAATAAATCAGTGCTGATATATGGATGTTCCTGCTTGTACAGTTTTGTTTGTATTTAACTTACAGGTTTATTGTGGTTTTACAGCTGCATAAGAGCTATGAACATTTAAATTTATACCAAGTTTTCTGTTTATACTTATTAAATTTAGTTAGTGAATTTAAAGCAACCCTCGGGGAGTTTTTTTTTTTTTTTCCTTGAACAGGGGCCTAAGTATGTAAGTTAAGAAACACTGTTCTGATTTATAAATTTTGGGGACTCCATCAGATTTCTTACTCATGGGTTATCAAGTATCAAAGAATTATAATATAAAAGTAGCAGAAGGGCGCCTGGGTGGCTCAGTTGGTTGGGCAACTGCCTTCGGCTCAGGTCATGATCCTGGAGTCCCGGGATCGAGTTCCCCATCGGGCTCCCTGCTCGGCGGGGAGCCTGCTTCTCCCTCTGACCCTCCCCCCTCTCATGTGCTCTCTGTCTCAAATAAATAAATTAAAAAAAAAAAAAGTAGCAGAAGGAAATAACCATAACCTTTCCCTTCTGATGAAGCACATCAGATTAAAGAGTGCCTCAAGGTCATCGTTGTGAATGTCCTTTATCTTTGAATTTAGGAACGTTCATGACTTCTGACAAATTAAAGACTTCTGGACTCTTCCTGGAAAAAAAAAAAACTCCGAGGGTATATTCTGTGTGGGAGGGAGTCAGAAGCACCATCCTTCTAAATATATGAGTTGCACACATTTGCCAGGCACCTGGAGAATGCATTTTATCAGTGGCCAGGGCTCTGGCTTAGGAAAATGGGATTACCTGCAGCGCCAGCAGGCGAACACCTTCCAGCGGTTTATCGGGGTCCACTTTAACTTCCTGTGTTCTGGCAAAAACTTCTAGGTCTCTGATGTTTTGGCAAGCCAGATAAGAGCCCTAGTTAGGCAAACAGACAGAGTTGCACTTACGTCGAGGACGAAGAAGCGAGCATTTGTCTGGGGAGCATCAGGATTGACTTTAATGGTTCTGGCCATTTTGAACGCCTGCAAACGTGGGAAATGCTCAGCAGCACGGGAAGCACCCTGTTTTCAAATGCAATTGCACATTACTGACCGGACAGCATGATCCTGGGCCTACTGCACGCAGGAGCAGATTGGTCTAGCATCTCATTCAGACAGGTGGGGTGCACTAAGTCTGAGACAAGATCTAGGAGTCACCCAAAGAAGTCTGGGAAAGTAGTCAGGGTAGAAAGGGGTTGAGAAAGCGAGCCCCAATTTAATTTTAACCAAAATAAAACATACATTCCAAAAAGGTGTAGAAAGTGTATAGTTTGATGAATTTTCACAAAACGAACATAGCTGTGTAATAACTGCCCAAAACAGGAGTATATTACCACTAACCTGGAATTCCCACCCCTCTCCAAGTTGGTTCCTTTCTAAACATTTTTTACTGATCCTGTGCATCTTTCTCTTTTTCCTGTACTTCATGTATATTTCTCTCCCTGGGATAACAAGCACTAAAGCAAAACAAAGTAGCAACAAAAACATACAAAAACAAGTTTTTCAAAGGCCCAGGATGGCCTCAGAACCAGCTCAGCTGAGGACCAGAGAAGGGTGGGAGCTTGTTTCCAAGAAGCCATGAATGGGAAGATAAAGTCCAGCCAAAATGGGGGATGATGGCAAGTAAATGAGCCACACCCCTTTGGGCCGGATAGAGCAACCAGTGTATCTTCAAAAAGCACTTCGTTTTCCTTGTGGAAAACACGCATGCCGAAATTATGAGCTGTGTATGTTCACTCGTTCAAGCAAACTTGTTTCCTATGAACAGTGTCATAAACAGACATCTTTGATTATCTTCTATTCTGAACAGTGGGGAAACTGAGGCCTGGAATCATCAATCAGGGACCGGCGAGGCCTTCCGCTGTCCAAAGATGCTGGCCCAGGCCTCCTCTCAGAGGGCATCACTCCTTGCTGTTCTTAAGGGAGCCAATTTTGAGAAAAGGGACTACAACAATAACATGCTTCCAGCCAGGACAAATATCTTACTCCATGTCAAGTGGCAAAACATGACCAACCCACCAACCCTGCACAGAAAGGCAAGAGGCTGTAGTGAAGGTTAAGGAACACAGACGAGGGACATCTCAAAACACAAAGGACATGCGGGCCAGTGGTGTGGATTTTGCACTACTACTCACTGTTCACCCAACTCGGATCCACCATGAAGCAGGACAGTTAAGTGCGTTACTAACTCTCTCAATCAGGAATAGCCTGTTTTCCTTTTGAATGCTCCAGGAATGCTTCAGTACCTTGAAGTTGGGAATCCTGTGATGAACAGGCCGGGGAAAATCAGCTAAATTTTGTGATTCCATGTAGTCCCAAATCTGTTCACGAATGTCCTGTTTGGAAACACCTATGGCAACAAAGAGTGGGACTAGTTAACGGGGCAGAAAGGAGTCCTGCCACATGTGCAGGCCGGGCGCTGCTGGGTGCCTGCTCCAGCTGCACCCTCAGCACTCTGTCACGCCAGACCAATCCAGGGCTTCTCAGCTCTATGGCGAAAAATCAGGGTTAGTGATAAACTCACAACAAATTGCTAAAGTCCAAAAACAGAGTAAATTCAAGACAACCCAGGTGTTTAACCTAGCTCTACTGAGCTATAGGAGCAGCAGAACAAAATGCAAAGCGAGCCAGGTACCCAAGCTTTCCTCAGGTCCTTGCTGGGAAACGCACATTCTGATCAGTCAACGCACTGCAATCCTTGGTCTAATTAGTTTTGACATAGTTATGATTAGTGCATGCAGACTGTAAACCCAGAAAGCTTGCCTTAAACCTAAGCGCTTTGTAAACCACCTATTATTTTGGATTACCAATTACAATCCCCTTTATTAGTATAGCAATTTCTTATTCTATACCAAACTTCAGAAGCGCATTTTTTGTCAACAAATATTCTTTAATTTGATTGGAGCAGTTTTAATAAAATCTGCATTAATCATGTGTTCCTCTTGGAGTGAAGAACTATAAAAAGCAGTTTCCAGTTAGGTGGAAAAACATAAAACCAGCACCTTCACAAAGACACATTTTTAAAATATTCACTGAATTTTCATTTCTGTTGGTCCTAAAGGATATCCTTGTACTTGTACAGAAGTCTGTTTCAAATCACTTTATCCACTTGATCTGTTTTCGTAACAATTTGTCATGCGGCCAGCACTGAGAATCATGAGGCAAGGAACTCATCATGAGGTCATCTCAGTGACTGGTCAATTCTCAACACCAACCTGCCCTAACCGCTGGTGAAGAGGAGTGCTGACTACCCTGCACCATCTGAAAGTCCCCGTAGGGACACATGCACAGGGCTTAGGGAATGTGCATCTCCGAAGCTGGCAGTGAAAGACAACCTCTTTAGAGAACCCAATGTGCACCACAGCTAGATGTGAGGTTCTACATGTACTCTGTGTGCCTGCGGCACCTCTCATCACCTGAGTAGGAAGGAGGGGCAGATACAACCCCACAGGTCCTCAGTCTCCCTTCAATGAGTGCAGGATATTGAAAAGTGACCCACGGGAGCAGCCCAGGGCCAGAAACTGCTGGGAATCACCTGGATGGGTGGTGCGATTGGGCTGGCAGCTGGCTTCTCACCATACATTTCTGAGTTGTGTGGCTTTGAATCATGTGAATCAATTATATTCTAAAATTTTATTTTTCATAAATGGACTTTGAAAACATGCAGAGGGGACTATATTGACAAGCCTCTCTCCTCGGTGCCTGCTGGGGACCAGCTCTCTTCCCCCAGGGCAATCAGCGCACCCTTTTTTCCTCATGAATTTTCCCCCAGGTACCTCTGGCCCACACAGAAGACACTTCCTGTCATGTCCTTTCCCTAATGTGGCACACTCCACAGCACACAATGTCCTGCACACTGGTGTTCTTGCCAAATATCTTGCAGATCAGCCCACGTGGTATACAAGAGCACCTCTGTTCTTTTGTGAAGTTGCACGGTATTCCATTGTAGGGACAGGCCAAAATTTACTCAGGCAGTCCCCTTCTGAAGGGCAACAGGTGGCTTCCAATCTTGTTACCGAGGTACACTTTGCCACCAGCCCATTTTACCTCAATTTGTTAACTCTCCACGTGTAGCCTAAGGCATAAGGGCCCAGAGCCAAAGGCTTCCACTGCCTACACCCTCTGGCTAGGCCTAGATCTCCTCAGCACAGCATGCAGCCCAGTCCCAGAGCCTCTTGGAGCCCACTACAAACACTTCTCAGGCCTCCTGTCCCTAGCTGTGCTTTAAAGCCATTCCAGATATCAAAACTGCAGATTTGGGTGTGCTTAGGGAACACACATCTGTAAGACGCAGCCTGAGTAGGCCGACACAGGCAGTTTCCAGCACTTGGCTTGTTCTTTCCTCCTGGGAGCTCTGCACTGAAGGTGTCTGCTGCCAAATCTGCTCAGCTCTCTGTCCCTTCGATAAACCCTCATCACTCTTCAAGGCTCGGCTTCAGCACCACCTCCAGGAAGCACCCCCGCCTTCTGCTCCACTGCCTGGGGATCCCTCTGTCACAGGGTCACAAGGACCTCTAGCCGACAATGCCCTGCTGCCCACTTCAGCCTCACCTCCATCACTGCTCGCGGTGGATTCAAAATGTGGCTCAAGCGTTACTGGTCCCTGCTTCCACACACCTGCCCATCTCTTTGTGCCTTTCACACCTTGGTACCTCCTCTCCCTTCAGGTCTGCCTGACGCACCACATCCCCCTGGAGGTATTCAGAGAGCCCAGTTACATTACAGGCAGCTGCCCTCCTTTAGGAACCCAGAGCACCCTGTTTTTTTCAAACACAATCATGTTGATACAACTATAAGGTTAATATACTTGTCACTTTCACTAATAACCCACGGGTGCTACAACATTCCCAACACCTTGCAGGATACCGTGTGGGACACAAGAAACCTAAGAAATTGTGACCCTTGCTCTGGAGAATCAATTAATCACAAACATCTGAGTGACTCCCATTTAGAAAGCGATAATGGTGATTGGGAGGAGCAGCGAGAGTGAAAGGGCAGCTCCTCGCCCTTGGGAAAGTGACAAAAACACGGGAAATGACTAGGAATAAAAGGCAACATACATTTGCGTGAAATGCCTGAACCCCGGTGTGTAATTGCCTAGTTACTTCCCCCAACAGGTTGTGGCTCTGTCAGGTCAACCAGGGTCTCACTCACACTTCCACCTCTAGCTCTGCGCTCAGTGCCGGCGGTCGGCAGGCATCTGAGCGAGCAGAATCTCTGAGCCGAGCCGTTTACAGGCTGCACCCTTGGTAAGGGCAGAAGCGCACTTATTCCCGGTTGTGGAACCTGGCTTTGACAGGCTCCGGCTCACCGTGGGCTTCGGTCCTGGGTGCTGTCTTTGCCAAGCAACCCCGCAACAATCACCAAAGCTCTTCTCCACAGAGGGTGACCCCCTGGAGCCCGGGCGCAATGAAGCAAGTGTTCCCAGCGCCTGGGCAGGGCAGGGCCGGGCACAGAGAGGCCTTGGAAAGCATTTCAGAGGACAGCGATTAAGCGGCCCGGCGGCGAAGTTAAGCTGCTTTCCAGTCCTGCCCCGCCACCAGCTGTGAGCCTGGGTCTCCTCGCCGCACCGCGGGTATGCTAGTGCGGACCTCACAGGTGGTGGCTACGATCGATCGGCACGGGGCCACGGACACCACCAGGGGCACGGCTCTAGTCCTCTCTCTTCTCCCCACTATCTTCCCTCCACCGACAGGGTCGCACATCAGGGTCCGAGACCGGCGCCGGCTGGACCCCCGAGCCCCGCTCAGTCCCCTCCGCGTCCCCTCCCGCCTGTCCGGTGGTCCCGCCCGTCAGATAGGTCCCTGGCGGCCCCTCACCGGCCGACCCCCGCCTGCCCCTCAGGTGGGTCCTCGGCCGCCCCTCACGCGCCCGCCCCCCGCCTACCCCGGGTGGGTCCCTAGCGGCCCCCTCACCCGCCTAGCCCTCAGGTGGGCCCCCGTTGCCTGCCGGCCCCTCACTCGCCCGCCCCCCTCTTGCCCCTCGAGTGGGTCTCTGGCGGCCCCTCACCCGCCCGCCCCCTGCCTGCCCCTCAGGTAGGTCCCCACCCGCCTCTCCCCCGGGTCCTTACCCGTCTTCAGCTCCATGACGACGCAGTCAGCGAGCGACGCCTCCAGAAGCCGAATCCGGCGCGGAGTGACGTCACCCGCTCGCGCGCTCTCGCCGCGCCTGCGCGCTGACAGCGAGGGGGGCGGTTGCGTCGCCGTGGAGGCCTGGAGGGAACAGCCCGGGGCGGGCATGCGCGTGCGTCTCCGCGGGCAGAGTGGAGGGACGTGCGGGGGAGGCCGGCGTGTTTCCTGGGCTGTCATTGGTTTGTAGAGCAACTCGGTGTTGAGCGCCTGTTCCCAGGGGCGTTTGTGCGGCGCTGGGGCTACCGAGGTGAAGAAGCCCCTGGCCTTTCCGAGCCCACCGCCAATTCCAACATACCCCACCTCCTTTTCTGTTTCCCCAGAGGCCCCCTCCTCCTGGAAGCCAGCCTTGATTGCTCCTACAGGATGTGATTCCTCTTCTCTGAGGAAGACATCCAAGTGCTCACACCTGGGTGTGCGTCTGCCTCAGCTGTGGACACTTTAAAATGTCAGGTTGTAGGGGCTCCTGGGTGGCTTAGTCCGTTCAGCCTCGGACTCTTGGTTTCAGCTCAGGTCATGAGCTGATGGTCGTCGGATGGAGCCCCACGTCGGGCTCTGCTCTCAGCATGGAGCCTGCTTCAGAGTCTCCCTCTCCCTCCTGCCCTCTCTCAAATAAATAAATAAAATCTTTAAAAAAAAAAAAAAAGTAAAATGTCGGGTTGCTAGAGTGGGGGGTTCACTGCAGGTGGGATGGTGACCAGCCTGGGTGCTGGATGAGTTGAGAAACACCCCTTGATTTTACTGTGGCCTCTGGATCTCCTAGGGACTGGAAGAACGTGGCAGCCTGCGTTTGTTGGCTTCTATCATTCCTTTAACGCGTAGGGTGTGTCAATCTAAGCGCCAGGAGGTGGCTCGGGAGATGGGGCTGAACAGACCAGCCCAGCTGGAGTCCTCTCTGGGCTCCACTCCAGCGGGAGGGAGAAGGAGGAGCATTCACACTTTAGGAAGATGACCCCTCCTCCCAAATGAGGCCGTGGCAAACCCAAGTCACCAGTAACCACCTCCTAATGAGTAACTGCACACCCTTAGCAGTGTGCCTCGTGCATGGTAAGCATGCAAGAAGTGGCAGCTACTTTTCAAAATTAAATATCCAATGCTTGATAAGGTCCCCACAACAAACTTGTGAAACAGACAAAGCATTTTACTACCAGCTTCAAGACAAAGATAGGGGAAACGAGGTTCTGGGTGTTGCAGCGACTTACTGAAGCTCCCTTCAGAACTAATCCTATACCCTTTGTCTTTATCAGATAGAACATTATCAGTGCAGTAAGAAATACTGTACAACCATGCCAGGCACCAGGCTAAGGGCCTTAGAAATCATACCTAAATATAGTCCTCACAACAACCGTGAGCAGCAGATGTGACTGGCATTCTACAGGGGAGGAAACAGAGGCTCGGGATGTTAGTGAGCCTTGCCCAGAGCGGCCCGACTGGAAAAGGGCAGCGCCTGTGCTTGATTATAAATCTCGCGGCTCCGGTCCCAGCTCTACATCCCTGGGTGGTATTCGTGGTGTTAATACGTAAAGACATTAACAGGCCTTCATTCCACAAGAGGGGGGCCATGTCCCTTACAGGCTGGCAAAAAGGAGTGCAAAGCTTTGCTTTGGGCAATAGAAGGTTATCAAATAAAATCTCTCAGGGAGGTTGGAGTCCTTGCCCACTTTTGGGAAAACACAGTGGATGTGTGGAGAATATTTTATGCAAACGGACCTGGCTGCAGCAGTGGAAATGTGTGCAGCACTCACTGTTACCCAGCTGTGCTCAGAGCAGCGCCCAGGGCGCTAACCAACCCAAGTCCCTCAGGCAGACAGGCTGGTGCATCCCCCAGGGAGTAACAAGCCACCCACCGGGGACAAACTCCCTCACTGGCAAACGTCAGAAAGCAGAGAGCACTCTCCAGGACATTCCCTTGGGCCGCTTCATTCCCTGTTGCCAAATTAGAAGTGCTCCCAAAGCCCAGGCACTTGAAAGTATAAGTAATTATGAAAGAGAGACCCCTTAAGAAGAAATGAGTTGGCTCTCCTGCAAAAAGATGTTCTAGAACTTTGACCCAAATGCTTCAAACTCAATCCTGTATGTAAATTTGCCCTTGGGTCACTTGAGAGTTTTTAAAAAGAGTTTCAGTAGAGCCATTTTAGGTTCACAGAACAATTGAGCCAAAGGTACAGAGAGTTCCCATACACTGCCACTAGCCCCCCCCCCCACCTGGCGCAGCTTCCCCCAGGATCAACGTCCCACACCACAGCATGACCTTTGTCACATCACCTCTGACACATTACCACCATGGACTGAATGTTGGTGTCCCCCACCCCCTTCATATGTTGAAGCCTAATGCCCAGTGTGGTGGCTTTAGTAGGTGGAGTCTTTGGGAGGTGACAGGTCATGAGGGCAGAGCCTCTTTAGTGCGATTCTTTCCCTTATAAAGGGGACTCCAGAGAGCTCCGTCACCCCGCCCCTTCCACCATGGGAGGACATAAAAAGGAGACAGGCATCCGTGAACCAGGACGCGGGCTCTCACCAGACACAAAATCTGCTGCCACCCTTGACCTTGGACGTGCCAGCCTCCAGAACTGTGAGAAAGAAATGTTTGTTTAAGTTGCCCGGTATACGGTATTTTTTCATAGCAGCCTGACCTGACTAAGGACACTAAAGAGGATACCCCAAGTCCAGAGTTTACAGTAGGGGTCGCTCTTGGTGGTGGACATTCTATGGGTTTGGACAGAATGGTCTCACTGCCCTAAACATCCTCTGCTTCGCCTATTCACCCCCCCCCCCTCGAGTCCCTGGCAACCACTGATATTTTACTATCTCCATATTTCTGTCTTTTCCAGGATGTCATAGAGTTGGAGTTGCACAGGATGGAGCCTTTCAGATCGCCTTATTTCACTTAGTGATATGCCTCCTCCATATCCTTTCAGGGCTTGGTAGCTCTTTTCTTTTCAGTGCTGAATAACAGTCCATTGTCTGGATGGACCACAGTTTATCCATCACCTATGGAAGGACACCTTGGTGGCCCCCAGGGTCTGGCGATGATGAACAAGCTGCTGGGACACCATGTTTAGGTTCACTTGAGGGTTTCACAGCTTGTCACAACATTGCCTTGTGAGTTCTCACAACTCCTTCGAGCCTGGCCAGAAGGAACACATAGTGAAAAAGGCAAGAGCATGAAGAGCTGGGTCATGGATCTCCAAGCTGTGTGACATTGGGTAATTAACCCCACCTCTCTGGGCTTCTGTTCCCTTTTCTGTACAAGGTGGGGAAGTGATTCCTCCATTAGCATCGGTGAGAGGACAGAGAGGACTAGTTCACGGGGAGTCTGAGCACACCCAGCCCGCAGCAAGCACGCTGTCATCGTCCCATAACCATCCTGTTAGACAGACAAGAGAAGGTGTTGAGAGATGAGGTCCAGTGATTCACCCGAGGTGCTGCGGTGCTGACAGCCAGGCCTCGCCCCGCGTGTGCTTCTGAAACGCCAACGCTTCCAGCCCTTAAGCTGTACAGGTACAGACTTAACATATTAAATGCCACCTTCTGCTTTCTGCTCCCCGACTCCCCCTGCATCATATGCACACACACACACACACACACACAACTCCTAAAGTGCTAAAAAGAAAAAAACACACGCCAATAATTTTAATAACAACCAAGACTGGTTCCTGAGGAGCTAGAAAATTCCCTCCTCCCTTCAGGCTTTCCTCTGTCATCTGGCTTTGCTCTTGAGTTATGTGCCTTCACCCATCCTGGGATCAGGTGAGGCCATCCGTCAGCACCTGGCACTTCACTGGAGATTCTACTCTAGCAATATGAGGATGGCCCAAGTGTCACAGTGTCGGCTCGCTCTTCCTGCTGCCACCACCCAGGCCAAGGGTGTGTCACCATGCTTTGGACCGCAACCGTCTCCTGTCTCCCAATTCTTTCTTTTTTTTTAAAGATTTTATTTATTTACTTGACAGAGAGTGAGTGAGCACAAGCAGGGGGAGCGGTAGAGGGAGAGGGAGAAGCAGGCTCTCTGCTGAGTAGGGAGCCAGATGTGGGGCTCGATCCCAGGACCCTGAGATCATGACCTGAGCCAAAGGCAGATGCTTAACTGACTGAGCCACCCAGGCGTCCCATCCTGTCTCCCAATTCTGTCCGCTCCCAGGCACTGCCTCCTACCACCCTCCTCCTCTTCCCTCTTCCTCCTCCTCCCCCCCAACTCTCCTCCTCCTCCCTCTTCTTCCTCCTCCTCCCTCCTCCTCTTCTCTACCTTCTCCTCCTCCCTTCTTCCTCCTTCCTCCCCCTCCTCCTCTGCTTGCCCCCCGTCTTGCCCTCTGCCCACCTGCATTCCCCCTGCATATCTTCCAGCTGTGACCTCCCGGCTCCCCAGGGCCTCCCACCTTGCAGAGCACACACTTCTCAGCCGGCTGTCCAGGCCTTTTGGGGCCACCAGCTCGCACACTCAGTCCCCTCTCTCAGCCAAACCTTGTCTCTATCAATTCGACTTTGCCCTTCTCCTCTCTCCTGCTTTGGTTGGTGTTTTTCCCATCCCAGAAAGGCCCTCCTGCACCCCAAATTGGCCTGGTGGCAAGCAGAAGGGAAGGGTGGGGGGCCAAGCAACTCCTCTAACAAAGTGGGGATGGACTTGAAGAGGCGTTACTTCGAGTCACAAAGAGGACCTGCGTTGGTTCTAAACAGACCTCCCCTGGGAGCTGGAGAGGCGGAGGGAGGGCGGAGTAGTGCCCGCGCAGAGCTCTGGCATCCTCGGGTGAACCCAAATGCTAATTTAAAATATACACAGTGTGCTGCAATTACGCAACAGGGACAGCCGGGAGCCATTTGGGTCATGTTTTAAAACATCCCCTTGCACACGGGAACCAGCCGGTTTCTTCTAAGGAAAGGTATGACCATCTTTAAACACAGAGCAGGCAGGCAGAGGATCACAGTCATCCTCACCAAGGAGAAATAGCAGCAAAGCCTGTTTTTTTGAGATATGTTGGGTAGCGGCCGAAGAAGCATTGGGAGGGGTTCGTGGTCTCTGTGAGTGGGGAGGAGGGTGTCGAGAAGATGCTCTTTTGGTTTTCAAGTCTTCTGCGCTATTAGGATTTTTAACCATGTAGTGTATGGCGCTCATT